GGTGCCCGCGCCTTGGACCACAGGGTTGTCAGCTCTCGGGTGGTGGGTGTCTGGAGCAGCGCTGCGTGCTCAGCCCTGTCCTCTGCTGGACACAGAACCTGCCCCAGGAGAGCTAGCGCTCCTCTCCTGTCTTTCCCTGAGGCCATGGGCTCCATCATGGGGCTGCGATGGGAAGTGGCCGCAGTGCAGTGAAGGGCTCTGCCTTGCTGTACTCTGCCAAGCACAGGACTGTCTGTCCCCTCCAGCCCAGAAGCCCAGGGCCTGCAGCCCCTAGGGAGGTGGGCTGGGCTGTGCCTTGCTGATTGCTGAGATCAGCTGGAAATGCAGGGGCCCAGCATTTACCAGTGAAGTAGCCCATGCTGACAGGGCTGCCCCTATGCTGTAGTGGTCAGGGCCATCCTACCCTTTGCCAACAGTGTATTATGAGGGGCTACAGGACAAGCTGGCACAGATCCGTGATGCCCGGGGTGCACTGAGTGCCCTGCGTGAGGAACACCGCGAGAAGCTACGCCGGGCAGCTGAAGAGGCTGAGCGCCAGCGCCAGATCCAGCTAGCCCAGAAGCTAGAGATCATGCGACAGAAGAAGCAGGTGCAGTGGCTGGCCCCACGTGGGGGTGGGGGGGGTCCTGGGCCTGCCTGACACCCGCCCGTGTGGCTGCCACAGGAGTATCTGGAGGTGCAGAGGCAGCTGGCCATCCAGCGCCTACAGGAGCAGGAGAAGGAGCGGCAGATGCGCCTGGAGCAGCAGAAGCAGACTGTCCAGATGCGTGCCCAGATGCCTGCCTTCCCCCTGCCCTATGCCCAGGCATGTGCCACCCCACCTGCCCCCTGCCCTATACCCATGCACATCTGCCCCCACCCTCGCTGGTTGAGGCCCTCTCTCATCACATGTCTTCTTTGTCCCCAGCTCCAGGCCATGCCCACAGCCGGGGGCGTGCTCTACCAACCTTCGGGCCCGACCAGCTTCCCTGGCACCTTCAGTCCAGCAGGCTCAGTGGAGGGTTCCCCCATGCACAGCGTGTACATGAGTCAGGCAGCCCCAGCTGCCAGCCCTTACCCCAGCATGCCTGGCACCACGGCAGGTACCCACAGGGCAGAGGTGGCCCCAGACCACAGCTTTTTTTTGGTTTTATTTTAGCCCAACTTAAACAGAAAGTTGAGAGAATGATACAAATAATTTTTTAGATTTCCTAAACATGAACATTTTCTCTTCTGCTTTTTCCTTCCTCCGCATGTGCACGCCCTCAGTTGCTTTGACAGTAAAGGGCAGGCGATATCTTCACCCAGACATGTTTACTGACACTAGGGCGTGCGCTCACAGGCTGGGAGGGCATTACAGAAGGCGTTAGTGACAACTCACTGCATGTAAGCCCTGTACGGCTCCTCCAGGACATTCATCCCTCAGACATGGGCTGTTTGGCCCTGGCCTGTGAGCAGACTGCACCATGCAGGTGTGTTCTGCCTGAAGGTGCTCTGGGCCGCACTTCTGGCATGGAGGGAGCTGTCAGGTGGGGGACACAGTGTGTTGCTTTGTCCCAGCATGGCCACTTGACGCCTCTGGATGCATCTCTGCAGACAGTGTCTATTCCTCTGTCAGCAGGTGTCTGAGGAGGGAGATGAACACCTGCAGATATCTGTACTCCTTAATCTTTCTGCCTCACCTCAGTAGTTCTTGCTAAATTTTGCCTGAATGTATGACTGCTTGTTTGAGACAAGGTCTTGTTGTGCTACGTGGCCTGGCCACAAACTCCTGGGCTCAAGCGATCCTCCTGCCACAGCCGCTGAGTATCTGGGACTGCAGGTGTGCGTCACAGTGGCTCTTTTTGACCTTTGGCAGACAGTGCCTAATTGTGCTGTTGACTTTCCAGTGGAAGGAGGGGCTTTTCCCTCTCCATTCCTGTTCTTTATGTCAGATGGGTTCACTGGCTCCTCCTTCAGAAGACAATCCTTCATTATCGCTGTTGGTTTTGCTCACACCAGCTTGGGTGGCCTGTGGAAACCCTGGGCTGGCTCCTATGACTTTGAGGCAGGTCAACTCGATACTCTGCTTGACCCGTCCATTCTTGGACAGCCTGCTTCCTTCTAGTGGAAAGTGGCTTTTACAAGCCATGGTCTGGCTTCTGGGTGTGCTTCTGCTTCTCAGTCCTGTTGGCTGATGAACTTGGAAGTGTGTGTGCCGTGTGGCATGTGAACACGTCCTCATGCCATACAGAGACCCACGTCCTCATGCCATACAGAGACCAGAAGCTTATCCCAGTGTCCCCCATCCAACAGTGTGGGGTTTCTTCTTTGTTTTCAACATAGTTATCTATTTGCTTGTTCCCATGATACACAGAAGGCTGGACTGCTGATTATCTGTAGTTCCTGTTGTCTGTGACCTGAGGTCAGGGTGTCAAGGTTCTGGGCTCAATGCTCTAGGATCAGCTCCCCCTACCTCCTGCAGTGTGACTGTCTCTCATTTCAAATACAGTCTGGCTAATTTATTTAATTCTATTTTAGAACCATCTCCCATCCTTGTTGGCTTTAGTGTCCTCTTTTGAAAATATGAAGATAATGAAGTTCTAAAAAATCACAACAAAAAATCTTAGAGCCAGGCACAGTAACACATACCTGTAATCCCAGCCACTCAAGAGGCTGAGGCAGGAGGATCGCAAGTTCAAAGCCAGCCTGGCAACTTTGTGAGACCCTGTCTCAAAAAGTGAAAAGGAGCTGGGCATAGTGGCACATACGTGTAATCTCAGTGACTTGGGAGGCCAAGGCAAGAGGATTGCAAGTTCAAGACGAGCCTCAGCAATTTAGCAAGGTCCAAAGCAACTTAGAAAGACCCTGTCTCAAAAAAAAAAAAAAAAAAAAAAGCTGGGGATGTGGCTCAGTGGTGAAGCGCCTCTGGGTTCAATCTCCAGTATCCCCATCCAGAAAAGAAAGAAAACCTCAGAAGAGGGAGTCCAGCCTCCCTGCCCTCGTCACTCATCTATCTTATTTGTCACAGATCCTAGCATGGTGAGTGCTTACATGTACCCGGCAGGGGCCCCTGGGGCACAGGCAGCCCCCCAGGCCCAGGCGGGGCCCACTGGGAGTCCAGCCTACTCATCCTACCAGCCCACTCCCACCCCAGGCTACCAGGTATGTGACAAGACTGCTCCCCTCCCAGCTGGGCCCAGGTCCTGCCCATTCCCCATTGTACCACTTCCTTCCACAGAACGTGGCCTCCCAGGCCCCGCAGAGCCTCCCAGCCATCTCCCAGCCTCCACAGCCAGGCACCATGGGCTACATGGGAAGCCAGTCAGTGTCCATGGGCTACCAGCCATACAACATGCAGGTATGGTGCACTGGGCAGGACGCTCCTGGTGTTGGGCTTTGGATTGCTGCAAGCCAAGAGGCCCAACATCTGGGCACGGTGCTACTCTCCCAGTGTCTGGCTTCATCTTACTCTCCACAGAATCTTATGACCACCCTCCCCAGCCAAGATGCATCCCTGCCACCCCAGCAGCCCTACATCGCAGGACAGCAGCCTGTGTACCAGCAGGTGAGCCCTTCCCTGTCCACCTCCCCTGTGTTGCCTGATGGGTTAGGGATGAGAGCCTGACTGCTGTAGGGCCATCCTATGCTGCAATCCCGTGGGGAGACAAGGTCATGCTTAGGGTCCCTCTCGTCAGACACACGAGGACGTAAAAGCCAAGGAGACAGGTTCACATGTAGACAGCAGACCCGTGGAGCTGTGTGAAAGCTGGAGCTTTGGGGCTCCATGCACCATGCTGATGGCTTCTGCAGTCCACCTTGTGCTGCAGTGCAGCCCCTGGGAACTGTGACTCAGGTCTCTCTCCTCTTCTGCCCCACAGATGGCGCCCTCGGGTGGCCCTCCCCAGCAGCAGCCCCCTGTGGCTCAGCAGCCCCCTGCACAGGGGCCTCCTGCACAGGGCAGTGAGGCCCAGCTCATCTCCTTCGACTGACCCTGGGCTGGAGATTCAGACCATCCACAGTAACACTACAGTTCAACCGAAACCACCTGTGTCTAACTAGCTGTCTCCCTTGCTTCGTGTGACCCTTCTAGCCCCAGTCCTCGTCCCTGCCCTCAGCCCAGGCTTCTGCCACTGGCTCCCAGCTTTGGTCCTGTTTTGGTCTCTGACTTCTTTCCCCAGGGCTGGGCCTCGGGGACGGGAGGGGGTAGGAAAAGGACCTTCCTCGGGAGTCCTCAGCTCTGTGTGTTGGAACCTGCAAGAGGTGGCTGGAGTGGGGACCCTTAGCCCTGATGCAGCCCGCTCTGGTCTCACTCTGAGCTGGCAGTGAGCTATCCAGGCCTGGTCCCCCACTTCTCAGCAGGGTGAGGGTTTCAGGCTCTCTGGCTTCTCTGCTTTTCAGCTGTCCTCCAACGCAGAACAGAAAATAAAATATATTTCAAAAAGTACTTGCTGTTTGGTGGCCAACATGCCCTGGATCAGCCCCAGTGGCAGCTGGGCAGTGCTTCCGTGTGCTTACTGTGGCTATAGCAAAATTCCTGAGGCCGGACAGTTAGTAAAAACAATTTATTTCTTACGGTTCTGGAAATTGGGAGGCCTTAGCTTTATTGTAGATGGGGACTCTGGGGCGTCCCAACGGCGCAGGGCATCACGTGGCAGGGGCATTCAACAGGTGCTGAAGCGGCGACCCACTCGGGAAGAGCCCTTATGCCTCCTTCCTGGAGGTCCCACCTTCAACGCCATAGCGGAAGTGGAGCAAGTGGAACAAGCTGGGTTTTGGTTGTGGCGCAGGAGCCACGGCCGGAGCTGCGGACCGCTGTGGGTGGGCTCTGAGGCGAGTCTCATGCGGCGTCCCTTACCTCTCGGAAGACCCCGGCGGTCAGGCACGGGATCTCAGAGAACGCAGCACGACTCTCCCGGTCCCCTGCGGGGGAAAAGTGGCAGCCTGCGCCTGCGCGGCGCAGCGCGCCGCCTTGTGGGTAATCTCGGGGCCGCCGAGGCTAGAGCGGCCCGGTCCAGCTCGAATGCCTGGAGGCCTCTGGGCTAGAGCGGCCGCCCAGCTCGCCTGCTCGTGGCTAGAGCGTCGCCTCCGCGCAGAGCCGCGTGTGACCTTCCCGCTCCCGGAGCGATGTTACCGGCGGCCGCCCGCCGCCTGTGGGGACCGCCCCTCGGGCTTCGGGCCTCCGCGCTCCGTCTCGCCAGGTATTGCAGGGCCCTGGGCGCCATCACTGGGCCGGACGGTGGGGCCGATCGGGCAAAGGGACGGTGGGCGCGCGGCCACCCTCCTGGGCCTGGCCGCGGGGTCCGCTCGGCCCTAGGCGACCTTGGCGTCCTGGTCCCCAGGGTGCAGTCAGTGTGGGTGGCGGCCAGCCGCGGGCCCACGTTCAGGAAGGGTTCTTGTAACGAAATGCCTGGGCCAGGTGACGGAGTTTGCTCGCCCAGAAACCCGCCGTTCCGGGTGGAGTCACTGCACAAAATAACTGGGGTTCCCCAGAGGAACCCGAGGTGGCTCGGAAGCCGCCCACCCCTGGCTGGGCCCAAGGATCGAGGTGGTCTCCCGCCCCGGTGTTGGAGGACCTGCTTGCATGTCTTTGCGCACCCCCTTCCCTTCCCGGGCTGACCCTGTTTGCATGGGGCGACTAGACCACAGGTGCCAGGTGTCTGTGCCGTGCGACAGATGAGGAGCAGCAGCCACCGAAGGGGTGAGGCGCTGGCGGGGGCACCCCTGGATAACGCTCCCAAGGAGTACCCGCCCAAGATCCAGCAACTCGTCCAGGACATCGCCAGCCTCACGCTCCTGGAGATCTCAGACCTCAATGAACTCCTGAAGGTAACCGGGAGACTCAGACCACAGACTCGTGAGGCCTGGGGGCTGCCCTGTCTCTGGTCTCTTTTGGGAGTTTGGTAAATTGTCACAAGTGTGCTTCCCAGCCCGCCATGTTGGCATATTCCTCTAACCCCACCTACTCCTGAGGCGAGTGGATCTCAAGTTCAAGGCCAGGCTGGGCAACTTAGCAAGACCTTGTCTTAAATTTTTAAAAAGGGCTGGGGGTGTGGCTCAGTGATAGAGCACTTGTCTAGCATGTGCAGGGCTCTGGGCTCAATCCCCAGAGGTGCTTCCCCAGGTCCAAGGACTAAGCTAGGCTTTCCCCCGATTAGTACAATTGGAGTTTAACAGCCATCTACTGAGACTGTGTTCTCTGTCCCCGCAGAAAACCTTGAAGATCCAGGATGTCGGCCTCATGCCGACTGGTGGCATGATACCTGGGGCTCTCCCTGCTGCAGCAGCCCCTGAGGTAAGACCAGGCCAGGTTCTGGACAGAAAAGCCTTCTGTATGCCCAGCTCACCTCCGGTCTCATACTATGTGGCACAGTTTTCTTGTCCTATCTCGGGTCCTGTAGCTGCCATCCCCTGTGCCCTACACCTCTGCAGGTTCCCACTGTGGGCTTCCCTGCACACCCAGGGACTTCCCTGCCAAGAATGTTTGTGTCACTCGGTAAAATGGGGCAAGTGCTATGGAAAAAACTAGGGAAGAAGTTTATAAAATTTCAAGGAAGTCCTTGATTAGGAGGGAACATCACGGAAAATTGAAGGGAGTTAAAAGAAAAGGTCCAAGCATTCCTGGAGATCTCAAAGCTCAATGAACTCCTGAAGGTAAGGGGGAGACTCAGCTCAGATGACAGATTGGTGAGGCCTGGGGGCTGCCTTGTCTTGGCCTCTTTTGGGAGATTGGTAAATTGTCACAAGTGTGCTTCCCAGCCCGCCATGTTGGCATATTCCTCTAACCCCACCTACTCCAGAGGAGAGGCCAGATAGGAGGGCTCCCAGGCAAAAGCATGACTTTCTGTCCGAGTGGGAGCTAGAGGGGGCAAAGGGCAGGTAACAGGCTGCTCTGTCCCCTGGGCAGCTGGGAGCAAGTTTGTATTTCTGAAAGGAGCCCAAACCCAGCCTTTGATGGCTGGCTTGGGGGTAAGCCTCTTTCATCTGGGTCCCTACCCTCAGGTCCCTTGGTCTGCACCAGGCCAGGTCCTACAGAACACCCCACACTCAGGATGGGTGGTGATTCCACGGGGGCCGTCCTCACACTCCCACCTCAGACCTGGGAAGTGTCTTAAAGGCTTGTTAGCTGGAGGTGCAGGTGGTAGTGGAGCACCTGCCTGGCATGCTGGCGACCCTGGGTTCCATCTACGACACTTGTGAACACCCAGAAGGCTGCCAGATTCAGGCCCGACACCTAACGCAAGGGTAGGATTGTCATATAATCCATTGTCCAAACTGGAGTACTTTTGAGAATGGACAGAGTGCTGTTGATGACCTGGCAGCAGGCCCAAACTAGGGCATCTCACACTGTGGTGCTCATGGTGGCCCTGGCTATTTGTGTGTCACCTCAGGAACACCATTGCCCATCTACCCCATAGTCTTGCTGGGTGAAGGTCGAGGTCAACGCAGTCAGCTCATCATCGGCACCTGCCCCTGCATGGCTGAGGACGGGACTGGTACTACTTCCCTGGAACCTTGCACAACCACAGTGCAGTTTGTTGTTGCTCACCCTGTCTCAGGAGGAGGATTTTTACGGGATATGGGGTTCTGCCGGCCTGGGAGGCAGGCTTCAGAGTGGCCCATAGGGAATGGAGTGTTTGTAGGTGAAGGAGCCAGGTGTGAACCCTGACTAGCCTGTGCTGGAGGAAATGCATCGGTTGGTCACAAGACCCCCGGAGGCAGTCTACTCACGACCCAGACTTTGCTGGGGCTGGAAGCTGGCAATGTGCCTGTCCTCGCTCACCTGCACTTCCCATGGGGTAGCCAGGAGAAGCTGCTCCACCTTCGCCCCGTCCTTTCTTACCTTGCCTGCTTTCTTCTGCTTCCTAAGGTAGCAGAGGAGGAAGATCTCCCGAAACAGAAAGAACGGACACATTTCACTGTCCGCTTGACAGAGGCAAAGCCGGTAGACAAAGTGAAACTGATCAAAGAGATCAAGAACTACATCCAGGGCATAAACCTCGTCCAGGTGGGCTTCCTGTGCCTGAACCCTCTTCCCTGGGACCAGCATAAGCTGACAGTTAACCTGGGGTGGTCCCTTCCAACGTGGGCTTGGGTATGGTGGCCTAGGGCTCACGAATCTCTTGACTTTGCTGTCTGTCTCTGGCAGGCCAAGAAGCTGGTGGAGTCCCTGCCTCAGGAAATCAAAGCTAACGTGGCCAAAGCTGAGGCAGAGAAGATCAAGGCCGCCCTGGAAGCTGTGGGCGGCACGGTGGTTCTGGAATAGCCCCACCTCTGAGGACTTATGGACTGGGGTCCCTGGGACCCGGCGAGGCCCTGCCTGCCCTCTCCACCCCCAGCACCAGGCTCCCAGATGGAGATTCCAGGGGGCTGGAGTTACTGGCCCTAGTGGCAGTCTGTCTGGGGGGGACAAGATGGACCTGCTGTGGTGGGGGGAGGGAAGCCACTGCCTGTGCAGAGCACAAGAGGCCACCTCAGAAGGTACGGGATTACAGGAGTTCTTCTGGTGGCTGCTGAGAAAAATACACTGTTGAGGCTTGGGTGTGCGGAGTAGTGTGCCCAGGGTGGGTGGTACGAAGGGCCCCTGGGGTGGTGTGATCGGAACTTTGCCAGGACTGGTCCTGCCCCTTCGCCCCTCCACCAGGAGGTCTGAGTGTCTGCAGATATTCCTCAGCTCCCTATGTGCAGAGGCCTGGGTTAAGGGGCCTGGCAGTACCCTGGCCAAACTAGGAACAGTGGCTGCTGTTGGACAGGCCTGGCCCACCCTCTGGCTGCAGGCCCCTTAGTGCCTTTGCTGTGTAGCTGGCTGTAATGGCCAGGGGCCTTGCTCTGAGGACCCTTGGCCTCCTTTTCTCAGACAATCCCATGTTCAGCAAGACTAGGAGAGGGACAGTGAGTGTCCTTCTCTGGCCCTAGATAGGCTGACTTCCACTTCCTGTTAGCAAGAGGCTGTAGGATTGTAGAGCGCCCCCTTTGGGGAACATAGTGTTAGGCAAGGGGCCCCTGGGAGGCACACCCAGCTCTGCCCACTTGGTGGGAGTGCCTGACAGGCTCTGTCCAGCCTACCTAACAAGGGCCTTCAGTGTCCTTGCTGCCCTGCCAGCCTCCACCTGGAGTCTCCCTCTGACCCTGGCAGTTCCTCAGGTTAATGAGTATCCAGCAGCACATCTCTGGCTTCACCTCAGACAAGGTGAGCTACCCTGGGCCTGGGTGCAAATAGACACGCTGCTGACCCTGGGGAAGGCACTGAGTGTCCCAGCTCAGGGACAGGCCCCTGCATCTTAGAGAGCTGAGCCCATAGTCTAGTCAGTATAGGCTGGTGGCTCCCTGCCCAGATAAAGGGGCCTTTCACTCCTGGACTTCCAGAGGGTGACTGCTTGAGGGTGGAGATGACTGTGACATCAGGCCATTGGCTTAGCCTCATCCCACCTCACCAGCAGGGCCCATCCCTGATAGCAGGTACTCGTCCCTCCAAGTTGTGTCTGCTTGGTGTCCTTCCCCTGACCACCCTGGGCCTTTTCAGGTGGCTCCTTGATCAGGCCCTTTGTTGTCCAGTGTCATGTTCACAGCTAAACACTCAGGGTCACTCAGTGAACTGGGCTGCATGAAATGACCACACAGAGACAGAGAAGGACCTTTATCTTTGGGTCCTGTGACGGCCCCTCTGAACCCTTTTATTGAGGAGAGGCCATTCAAATAGGGTTAGGGTTACAAGGGAACAGGTGAGTGCAGCTCAACCCCTCTGAGCGCCCCCTGCTCCTAGGGCCATACCTTGATATCCAACACAGGGAAAAGCCAAGAGTCCCGAGTGCCGGCACTACCAGCCGGTCTACAGTGATCTTTGAGGTGCATCAGGACTCCCCAGCTCCCTTTCACCTGCTCTAGACTGTAAGTGGTCCATAAGGAACTGTCTTGTATCTGAAAATAGAGTGATATGACTGCTTTCTGGTGAAGTGTGTCCCAGGGGTCCCTGGAGGCCTCTTGGCCTTGACCTTTGGACCTAGCATCTGGAGGTGGCACTGGGAATCCTGAGTTCCCTTCTTTTGGGGGGAGGTGCACTTGACCACTGAACCACATCCCCAACCCTATTGTGTTGTATGTAGAGACAGGGTCTCACGGGGTTGCTTAGTGTCTCAGCCTCCTGAGCCACTGGGATTACAGGCGTGAGCCACCACAACATGCTCTGAGCTCCCTTCAGAACCAAACCTTGGTTGATTCACCAAGTCCTGAAAGAGATCAGACAAGCATCTTTTTCTTCAGGTTGGCAAAGTTCTAACAGGACAGGGCAAAGTCCGTAAGTGACCAACCCCACCCCACAGGCCCCCTGCTCAGGGATCTGCTAAGTCACCTGTATGGCTCCAAACCCCATATAGAGCACCTTGAAGTGTGTGCCAAGGGACCTGGCACCCCATGCTGTGGACACGGGGCCTGGTCCAGAGCCTAGCTGGGTAGCTCTGTCCTCAGCCTATGAACAAACATGTTCAGTTGAGAATCCTCGTGGGTTTGCACACCTGGAGTTTGCAAAGTCCACGTACTTTAGAGCTTCTAGTCTTGGGTGCATTTGTTTGCCCTGATTCCTCATCTCTAGGTCTCACTTGCCCCAGGCCTTCTGTCACCTTTGCTTAACTCTGTGTCCTACCTGTGAAATCCATTTCCACATCTTGCAGTTCCCCGCCTTGGCTAGGTGTGGGTCACAGTTCACACTTTCATCTGGTGTCCCCCTGACAATTCCTGTGACTTCCCTGTCCACCTCTCTGCCTCTGAAAACACAGAGGCACTTGACTGGGACATGACCGCAGGGTCAGAGTCCACCTGGAGTTCTACAAGACAGTCTCCACATGGGCCACTAGCATAGGCATGGTGGGGTTTGCTCTGCATCCACGTGGCTGGAGGGTCACTGGGCCCTCAGACAAGGCTGGTCACCTTATATGGGTGTTTGGCTGGTTCATGAGACCAGGGCTTGCTTTCTAGTGCCTCACCTTTATGTCTGGGCAGGGGTAGGGTGGCACTAGTTGTCAAGCCTTACTCCTGAAGCAACCTTGGGACTTGGGTTCACCTTGAACCAGGAGTACACCTGTTTCCTCACACTATTAGGAAGTTGGGTCAGGTGGGAGCCTAGATGTCGGTTGGTTTCTCCTGCTGGGGCCAGGAGCCCACCTCTCAGCCTCCCCCAGGGTGGCTGCCTGGGTTGACCGGTGGGAGCAAAGCCTGAACTGGACACTTGCTGGGAGCTCTGGACATTGAGGGTGGTGCAACTGTCTTAACTAATTGTTTTTGCCCCTGGATTTTACTTCATCTGCAAGTTGGCTCCAAGGAAATTTCCTGTCCGCCTCCACAGTGGGCGGGTTGGAGGTGCTGGGGGGGCGGTCGAGGGCCTCCACCCTTGTGGCACATGAGCTGGTACAGGTGGTGCAGGTTGCAAGTTCAGGCTGCGCTGAAGCCAGGGTGTTTCCAGAGGCCAAGCCTTCCAGGCCATGTGGTGTGGCAGAGTGATTTTGGAAGCCGCATCCTAAGCTGGGATGTAGGGAGTGGAGGTGGTCATTCGGTCAGCGCCGGGCCCGGCTTTGACTTCGGTGGGACAGTCCCAGGCTCGGCTCCTCGCCGCGGCCACTTTAAGACGCTGGGTCCGCCCCTGAGACGTGGCTCGCTGGCCCTCTCTCCCGCAGGTCCCGCCCCCGGGCCGCGCGGGCGCATTGGCTGCGCGGGGCGCGGGCGCACGGTGGCACTTTGAACCGGGCTCGGGGCGGTTGCGGTCGGGGTCGCGGTAGCGGCCGGGTCGGGCAGGCCGAACTGCAGCTAAGCGGGACATGGCGGCCGAGGCGCGCGTGTCGCGCTGGTACTTCGGAGGACTGGCCTCCTGCGGGGCCGCCTGCTGCACACACCCGCTGGACCTGCTCAAGGTGAGGCCGGCCGGGACGCTCTGGCCGCGCACCGGTGTTGGTCGTAGCTGTAGGATAGTGGCGCCGGCGCGGCGGTCGCCCTGCGCAGCGCCCAGGGCCTGGGCCTGCCGGCCGGGTGGAAAAACCCCGGGGACCCTCTGCAGCTGGCCCCCTGGTCTCGAGAGGCGGCCGCGCTCCTCAGCTTGCCAACCGGATCCCCTGTCTTGGCAGGGGACTGTCCCGCTTGCGCTTTAATACCTGCGTGAGCGTGATCGGTGGCACACACTTGTGGGTGGTCCCAGAGACTTGGGAGGCTGAGGCTGGAGGATCACAAGTTTGGGGCCAACCTTAGTGACTTAGCAAGACTGTGTCCCAAAATTTAAAGAGGGATGGGAATGCAGCTCCAAGGTAGAGCACTCCTGGGTTCTGTCCCCATTCCCCGGGTGGAAAAGTCTGGGATGCACAGGTGTTGGGTCCTAGAGATTGCCTGCATCCCACACCTGGCCCAGGGCCCAGCTGCCCCCAGCCTGGTGAGTGACTGTATTGAGCTAGAAGGGAAAGGCAATGAGGGCTGAGGCCTAGGTTAGTGGGGTGACACAGGCCCATGGCTTGGGCACTTCCTCTGCTAGGTGTAAATAGGCCCGGGAAGGCTGTCTGGTCCACGAAGCGCCTGGAGAGATGCCAGGAGACCCTGCATATGTGCAGCTCCCAGCAGAGTGGGTATCTCAGCACCAGAAGTATCCATGCTTCACTTTTTCCTTTGAAAAAAGTACTTATGGAACAAAAGAAGACAGAGCTCCCCTTGTTCCCTAGGGCCAGCCAAGGGGTGGTTCTCTGACCCTACCCCCCCAACAGAGAACAAAGGAAGGGCCTGAGGCTGTATGCAGTCTGCCCAGGGGGCTTTGCCCTGTGGTCACGCGGTGGCCGCTGGGCAGGGTACAGCGGGCCTGGCCACCCTCTGCCTCTCCCCTCCACCCAGAGCTGGTTGGGATTGGCCCTTGTGACCTGGGCTGGTAACCCAGCCTCCAGGTGGTTCCTGTGCCTGGGTGTCCAGGCCCTAGCTAGGCCTGCAGACCTCTACTTTCTAAAGAGAAGGTGGGCTTTTTTAATCAGCAAGAAAGCTGGCCACCCCTTACGGATGAGGCTGACTCATGTGCCCAGAGAGGCCTGCACGGATCCGGCCTGTGGGCCAAGGAGAAGCCCTGGAGCAGCAGGGGGCAGTGGGGCTGGAAGGGCACCTCCCTGGGGCTGCTCTTCCAGATGGCCACAGTCCCCTCCCCACCAGCCCTCTGGTGTTGACCGATTGTGACCTTGGAATCCTTTGCTGTTGTCCCTTGTCCAGGTCCCCTTGGGCGTCACTGCCCTGCCCCTGACCGCACCTAGGTGCTCTCTTGCTACAGAACACTGCCTGGAGCCAGCAGGGGAGGTGGCCATTGAGGGAAGTGTGAAGGATGGGCAGGGGCAGTGTCCCACCACTGGGGAGCAGTGGTCAGAGCTTTCCTCTAGGGTTACTCACCAGGACCTCAGGGTGTGGCCATTTGAGAAACTGTTTTGAAGTTTGTTGATCTGTCCCACTCTGCCCACATGCTGGCTTGGTCCTTGTGGTTGCTTGTCACGTGAATGGGGACTGCTATCCATGTGGCCACTGTTCTGGGGTCCAGTCCCTCTGTCCCGCCTGGGAGGCCAGTGTTGCTGATCTGGGTTTCAGCCCCCCTCGGTCCCTACCCATGTTTGCTGTCCCCTATCCTTTTGGGGGCTCCCCTGGGTAAGTTTAAGGGGGACCATGCTTGGCAGTGGACAGGCTTCCTTGGGGTCAGTGCCAAGGGTGGGACCTGGGGAGTGAGATCCTGGGCCTGGCTGCTGGCCTGTGGCCCATGGCCCCCAGCTTTTGCATGGGATATAAGCCATCAGAGCAGGGAGGTGTGGCGGGAGCACCCTGCACACAGTCTCTGGGGGACTCCACTGTCCCTGCCTTAGAGATGGGGCACGGGGAGTGCTGAGCTGAGGGTCTCTGAGGGGGTCTCACGGTGGTCGTTCCTGGAAGGGTCCTCAGAGCTGGCGTGGGGCTCTAGGCAGCACCCCACAGCCTGGTCCCTGTCCCCCTTGCCCCAGGTGCACCTGCAGACGCAGCAGGAGGTGAAGCTGCGCATGACGGGCATGGCGCTGCAGGTGGTGCGCTCTGACGGTGTCCTGGCACTCTACAACGGCCTGAGTGCCTCGCTCTGCAGACAGGTGGGCACCTGCTGGGGGACCTGAGCTTGGACCTGCTGGGCACACCAGGGAGCTCAAGCTGCTTCCAGCCTTTTTCAAGGTGTACGTGGAGCAAGTGACCCCAGGGTGGGTGTGGGGCTGGACCCCAGGCTGCCATTCACAGAGGTGAGCGGGAGCTGAGGTGGGTGGGGGCGGATTTGTGAAGGTTCCATGCTCACTAGCCCAGTGGCCTGGGGTCAGTCCCTCCATGTCCCCAGGGACCACAGGGTGTTGGCCGTGCCTTTGAAGCTGGCTGGGTTGTGCCCTGTCCTGAGCCAGGCCCTCTTCCCCAGATGACCTACTCCCTGACGCGATTCGCCATCTATGAGACAGCGCGGGACCACTTGGCCAGGGGCAGCCAGGGGCCTCTCCCCTTCTCCACCAAGGTGCTGCTGGGCGGCTTCAGTGGTGAGCACGGCTGGCTGAGCTGGGGCTGGCTCGGGCGGATGCCTCCAGGCATCACATGTTGTGGCCCCATGGTTCTGTTGCCCCAGGTTTAACCGGAGGCTTTGTGGGGACCCCCGCGGATTTGGTCAATGTCAGGTTTGTGTGTACCCTTTCCTGTCCCCAGACAGCCCAGGGCCTGCCCTGTGTCTTGCTGGGGTCTGCAGTATGCTCACCCTGGAACAGGCAGCTCAGACCCTGGCGTCCGGGAATGGGGTGGGGGGGCTTGAAGGCCCCATGGGACTGCCCTGGACCTCAGGCCATGTGTCTAGCAGCTACCTGCCCTGCTATTTCAGGATGCAGAACGACATGAAGCTGCCCTCGAATCAGCGGCGCAAGTGAGTAGTGGGTA